TTTTCAAGCAAGCTTCTGGGTTATAATTTGTGCCTAGAAAAAATAAAAGCAAATACTGGTCAATTATTATTCTGTTTCATTTGAAAGTATGTAAACATATTTGCATATATACAGTATCTATTGGTAGACAGGGACAATCATTAAAAATACAATCCTCACAATTCCAAAAGTAATTTTTCTCATCCCATGAATTTCAGTAGATATCATCCATATATTATAAAAATGTTGAAGTTCATTATTTTTATTAAGGCTAGAATGTAACATTCAAGACCATCTAGTTTTCCTCTGTATTGATAACTCCTGGCACTGTGTATGGCCCAAAGCAACTAATCCACAAATGCATTTTTAATGGAAAAATAAACTGAAAAATGCTGCTTTATAAGTATCCAGAATGAATCTGTTCTATCCTAGAATGAACATTTGTAAATTAGTTCAACATGAGAAATTCATCATCTAAGTAGAGGAAAGGACCGTTTGCAAGTCACACATGTCAGCATTGTCCTGACTCATGCATATGATTTTTGGGGGTGTCAGGAATTTGTGGACATAACATTTATATTAATGAAAACTAAGGCCTATTCAGTCATCATGGCTACATGTTTTGGACACTGTTTAATGCCGCACCTGCACTGTCTTGCTTAATTTCCTAGTAAAACATAAGTAAGCTGTATTCTGCATAGCCCCATGTTATAAATGAGAAAATCAAGTTTAATGAATGTAGATACTTTGCCAAGAGTCATAGCAGTGAATGTTATATTCAACCTTTAAAAGATGTTGTGGATGGATGGGGACTTAGCTCAATGGTTCGACCGCCTGCCTGGCAAGGGCAAGGACCCAAGTTCGATCCCTCACACACACACACACACACACACACACACACACACACAAAAAAGATGTGGAGGATTAAAGGACACCAGGCATGTGTACAGTGCTCAGTAAAAATAATCTACAGAAATATATAGAAAATAATCAGAGGGAAACAACATGAAATCAATAGTGTGGACACTGAAAATAATTTCTTTTAGCATCTTAATTATTCTTGATCAATGGGTCTTTTTATCACAGGAGCTGAACATTTTAGTGCAGTTCTTTCATGGGTAGAAAGATCTCCCAGGTCACCTTTCCAGTTCTCTGAATGAGTATCATGATGAGAGCTGTGTTTATCTGTAGTTAAAAAGAAAAAAAGTAAATATCCACACAAAGACGACAATCTTTTGAAAATGGACAGAGAAACCAGGATCATGATGGTTGCCTTGGTTTATTCTTTTTCTGCTGGACTTTCTTTTTTGTGGTCTTTATGGACACAATTCTGCTCTGTCCTTTCACATATCCGTGGTGACCTTTTGTTGTTTGTGGAATAGGAAATGGACTGGAAGCTCAGGTTCTTTGGATAAGTCTCAAGAGTGAAAATGTTAGCATGCTCATGTCTGGATGTTAAAGTATCTCCATAAGTTGACTGCAGTAGTTTATAAAATCTCTCTTTTTTAATTATAATGATGCTATTCAGTAAAAGATAAATGAAAATCCCTTATCACCAGGCATTGCTTAAGGTAAAAATAATATAGTTCCTGAAAATAAAACCTATATACACCTAAGTTCTCTCTCTCGGTTAAGATTGATTACACATGTGGACTCGATTAGTTTTATTTTCCTTTAATATCACTTCATGGATTTGTCTTTCCATTAGTTTATTTTAGCTTTTTTTGTTCCTTTTTATTGAGGTTATTGGTACAATCTAGGTATAAAAATACAGTTACATTCATCATTGGGATTCTGTACCTTTACATAATAGGTCTTGATTCTCATTTTTTCCCCTTGTCCCTGCCCTCCCTTCACCTCCCCCTCCTCTCCCCATTTACAAACACTTTATTTCCATTTTTTCAGTTTCTCATATTTTTTTCCTCTCCCTTATTATCTTTCCCCCACCCTTCCCACTTTCCTTACACCTTTAGCCCTTTACTTCCTATTTCACATTATTAATTGTCTCATTAGGATCCTGTGTACTATTATAGTTGTTCACACCAAAGAAACTATTCGGTATTTCAGTTAAAGAAATCTCTGTATGAACATTAAAAATAGGGAATCCTAAAATAAAACTAAAAAGGAAAGTAAAAGTGAAAAGGCAATGATGTAACATCAAAATAATCCTTAATTCTGGAGATGAAAATGGTCCCTGAACATATTTAAATTGCTTCTCGCTCTTATAGTCTTATCTTATTCTTTTTTCATTATTTAGAGAATACTTTATTAGTTGCTGTAATCAAACCCTTGTAGATATGACCTTAAATATTTAGTATGATGTGTTACCCCTGTATACATGGAAAAAAAATAAAATAAATTAACATTTCTAGACCAATATGGTTGTCCATTTCTGTACAATGCCAAGTTAACACAGTAAATTGGGATGACTTTTTCCAAAGTTGGCAGCACCGTTAAAGTTTCCCAAAATTCAATAGCAGCAACAGCTTTTCAAGGTTCTGTAGTCATCTGAACAAAATTATAGACATTCGGCACATTCCATTAAAAAAAAAAAACAACAAAGAAAAGAATAATATCCAGACAACAGCCAAGTTCTGTTGCTGCTGTGGTACCTGGCACAATTTTTTCTATTAGCTTCTTAATCATCATCTGGAAAGAGAACATTCTAGAGTAATATCATTAAATGTAGCTCTGATAAAGCACGGTCCCTACCATGTATCATAAAGCAGTTACTAGATATTTTACATTCATAGAGGTATGATATAGGACTGTCCTACATCAAAAATACTAGATTCAGTTTTGGTTTGAAATTTACTTTGTCTGCAAATAAGATTGCTACCCCTGTTTTTTTCTGGGCTCCTGTCACATGGAGAATTGTTTTCTATCTTTTCACTTTCAGTCTATGGGCTTTTTTTGCACTAGGTGTGTTTCTTGTATACAACATATTATTGGATTTTTGCTTCTTATTCCATTTTGCCAGTCTATTTGTCTTGATTGGTGAGTTGAGGCCATTGACATTGCTGGTTATGGGGTTGCTGATTATTATTATCATATTGCTGATATGTACTGACTTATTATTGACATGTTATTGGCCTTTTGTTGACTCTTTTTACTTTTTCACCTTCTCCTTTTAATTTCTTGCCTTGCCTATTTGATTTGCTCTGTTGGGCCTCATGGTGTTGTTGCCTTCATTGTCTTTTTCTAGGATCTTGTTTAGAATTGCTTGTAGTGCTGGTTTGGTATTCATGTAGTTTCTCAGGTGTTCTTTGTCATGGAAGTGTCTTATTTCCCCCTCCATTTTGAAAGAGAGTTTTGCTGGATACATCAGTCTAGGTTGGAGGTTGTTCTCTTTTAGTACTTGAAATATCTCATTCCAGGCTCTCCTTGCCCCAAGGGTTTGTGTTGAAAAGTCTGCTGTGATTCTGATGGGCTTTCCTTTGTATGT